TATCTGCCATGCCTACAAGGCCAGGGGAAACCAGCGGAACCAGCATTTGGCTGGTTAGGCAAAGACAAAACAGGTTCTGTTTTTAGAACCTGAACCTGGTTGTTGTTTTCCCAGGTTGGAAAAAACAGAACCAGAGGTTGTTTACCAACCTACCACCTTCTATTTTGTCCAGCCAGGTTGGTTCTGTTGCTTGGAATTATTTGGGATCATCCCTGGTTGTTCCCAGGTTGATTCCCAAGGTCCTTGCTAGCTAGAACTATTTAATCCTTCTCTGTTTGTACCTGAATATAGTAAAATTGATTCAAGCGAATTCCTTCCTCGCTGGAATTTCTTCTCTGCGCTATTCGACCGGCAGAATGCTACCCCGGTCAACGCTAGTATGCTAGCACTCCAACGCTAGGCAAACGCTGTCGGAGCCATAACTTCGTAATGGCAGAACTTTTCGCGAGGCAACTTGGCTCATTTTAAAGCTCTTGGAGCGAGCTTCGATATAGCGAATTCTCAGCTTAATCCGATCGACGGTCTGCCGGCCACGCTGCGCCGACCGTTCAAGGTACTCTTGCTGTTTTGACTAAGTCCTCCTTGATCCCTCTCTCTACAAACTCGGACCCGAGGATAGGGGCTGGTCTTGTACCAGGCACCCAGGGACCCTTGGAGGTGACCCGGAGGAGAGGTTTTAAGTTGATTAAGTCCTAATGCTTGAGTTATTAGGCCTTACACCAACAGCTGTATCAGAGCTGCGTTATAGTGATCCTCGTTATAGGTAGCTATGGCGGGCAACACCTCGGTGGGAGCTGGTGAATCTCAGCCAAGATCGTAGCGGCAGCCAAGATTCTGGTCTTTCAGCGCCAAGGGGAGCGCGAACAAACCAGGGCTCGCTTGTCAAGGAGGTGCTGAAGAATTTCACCGTCGAGAAGTTCAATGGTGAGGGCTATGATGATTGGGCCTGGAAATGCAATTATATTTCCGTCAGATCGGTTTGCTGAAACTAATGATTGGGAAGGAGCCTAGACCGAGTGACCCCACGCTGCAGGAAGATTGGGACGAGCGCTCCTCGGCTGGCTACTATTTGATGTCGCAGAGTTTGGAGCTGAACCAGCGTCACCACGTCATGCACCTGCTGCCGGAGGTTGAATGCGGTCCGAAGGCGTGGACCGTGTTGAAGGAGCTGCACGCCCCGACCTCCGTTGTCGCAACGTTGATGCTGGAGAGGGAGCTGTCCGCGTTGCGCCTGAGCGAGGGAGAGCCGGTGTGCAACAGTCCTGGACAAGATGCGCGACCTCTACGCGAAGTTGGCGACCGCGGGAATCACCTACCCGGAGCAGACCAAGTGCTTGAAGATGCTCTCGCTGCTGCCAGAATCGTGGCTTCAATTTACGAGCGGATTGAGCCTGCGCAGAACCAGAGCTTGTGACGCTCGAGTGGGTGCGCACGAAGATTCTGGAGGAGGACTTCCGTCGCCGCCAACTGAGGGGTGGAGACGACGGCAGCAGCGGCTACGGGATGCAAGGGAGCCGACGTGGCAGAGGACGTGGCTTCGGTGGTGCTGGAGCGGGCGGTGCAAAGAAAGACGACGACTCCAACGACCAACAAGGAGGTACCGGTTGGGGTCGCGGTGCGAAATCTGGACGTGGGGGCAAGTCGGGTGCTGGTGGCAAAATGAAAGGGAGTTGCTGGTATTGTGAGAAGGAAGGGCACCCCTGGTTTTTGTGCTATAAGAAACCCGATGGATGGACCCCCAGAATCGTCACCAGGATGGCGGCGCGCGGAGGAACCAGAAAAACGGCGCCAACATGGTCGCTGATTCGTCCGACAACAACCCGAAGGGCAACGGCGGTGCGGAGAAGAAGAAGGAGCGCACCGCGGGCCAATTCTTCCATGTGGGAGACAAGGGGGAGCAAGGAGACGCCTCTGCCAAAGTTGGAGCAGAGCTGCACCCCCTAGACTATTGGGTGTTGGACACAGGCGCTGCTTGGACGATGACGCCGCGCAAGGACCTGCTGGACGAAGTACGAGCTGCACCGATCAATGAAGTGTGCTCCGCCTCTGGACACATGTTGAAGGTGGCTGGTGCGGGACGAGCTGCGTTTAAGGGAGCGGATGGCAAGCCGGTGGTGCTGCACGACGTTCTCTTCGTCCCCGACCTGAAGGCCAACCTTATCTCCCTCCGTAAGCTTGGCAAGGCTGGGGTGAACACCAACACGGATGGGGCACGCACTTATAAGGGGAAGCTGGGCAATCGGGTGCTTTGGGATCTGCACGAGAGCAAGGACGTGTACAGATCTATGTGGCAGCTGCCGGCCCTGGCGTGGCATGGTGGGGGGCAGGCTGGAGAGGGGTCTGCATCCCAGGGGGAGTGCAATGCCGTTGGAGGGGTTGGTGTGAAAGTGTCGGCCAGATCTGGGGAGACAGATTGGGCAACGGCACACCGGCGCTTAGGGCATGTGGCAATGCCTTTGCTGAAGCAGCTGGAGAAGGATGGAGCCGTTAAGGGTCTGAAGCTGAACGGACAGCCACCTGATGACAACTGTGAAATCTGTTTGCTTTCAAAGTTCACCCGTTTCCCTTTCCATAGTGTGGCTGGCAGGAGCAAGAAGCCTTTGGAGCTGGTCCACATGGACTTGGTGGGGCCGCTGCCGGTGCAAGGGCACAAGGGGGAGCGGTATTTTCTTACAATTGTGGATGACTGGAGCAGGCTGATGTGGGCGTATCCGCTGAAGCAGAAGGACCACGCCGCCTCCACGATACGGGACGATTGGCTGCCATTCGTGGAGAAGCAGGCGAAGTGTGTAGTGAAGCGGATTAGGACAGACCGGGGTGGTGAGTTCCTTGGAGCTGAAATGACGGCCTGGCTCAAGAAGCAGGGCATCCAGAGAGAGCTGACCACGGCTTATACCCCACAGTCCAATGGTGTAGCAGAACGGGCAAACCGGACCATTCTGGAGACAGCTAGGGCGCTGCTCATAGAATCTGGGCTGAGCAATTCTATGTGGCCTCATGCTGTCCGGCACGCCACTGTCGCTAGGAACAGGGTGCTCACCAAGGTTGGGGATGACTCGTGGGTGCCGTTGGAGAGGTGGCTTGGGAGGAAGCCGCTGGTGGACATGCTGAGGGTGTTCGGTTGCATGGCAGTCGCCCACGTCCCCAAGACCTACCGCAGTAAGTTGGGGGCGAGTGCAATCTGGTGTGTGCATTTGGGGCTGGCTGCTGAGAGCAAGGGATGGCTGCTGTGGGAACCATCCAAGGGTGTGTTGTTTGACAGCAGGGATGTGAAATTCATTGAGGGCATGATGTATGGGAGCTGGGAGAAACAGCCGGAGGCAAGGGTGTCCCAGCAGATGGAGCAGATCACCATGCAGCTGGACCTGACTCCTAGTGTGTGGGAGGAGGGAGAGGAGGCAGCTGCTGGAAATGGTGATGGAGAGAAGGTACAGGAGGCATCTGCTGGTGGAGAAAATGGTGTGGAAACTGGCGGCAGCACTAGTGGAGCTGCTGGACCCGAGGGAGGAGAGAAGCAGCAGGGAAAAACTAAGAAGCCGAAGGGTGTCGTTATGAAGGGATGGGAGACACCCGTCTCCAGGCCAGACGTACCCGTATGGCTACTAAGAAGCTGACTGCAGGAACTGATGCAGCAGAGCGAGCTAGGGACCGAAGAGGCATTGCTGATTCTACCTCATGGCTATGACCCGGATGAGGAGGATGAGCCTGCGTACTGTTTTCTTGCCCCTGCACCAGAGGAACCAGCTAGCATGGAGGAGGCATTAGCTGGACCAGATAGGGACAAGTGGCTGGCTTCTAGGGATGCTGAGTACCAGAGTCTGCTGGAGAATAGGACATGGGATCTGGTGGTGCTGCCTGATGGGAAGAAAGCGATACAATGCAAGTGGGTGCTGAGGATCAAGACCGATGACAAGGGGCAGGTCACCATCTACAAGAGTAGGCTGGTGGCGAAGGGGTTTATGCAGAAGGAGAAGCAGGACTTCAACGAGATCTTTGCTCCCACTGCCAAACCCCCTACCTTCCGTGTCTTGTTGGCAGATGCAGCTGTTAGTGGGAAATTCATCATTCAGATGGATATTTCAACGGCATTCCTGAATGGGATTTTAGAGGAGGATGTGTACATGACGCAGCCGCCTGGGTATGAGGATGGTACGGGCAGGGTGTGCAAGCTCAACAAGTCCATCTACGGCTTGAAGCAGGCGCCACGCTGCTGGTACCAGAAGTTGGCAGCTGTTTTAGAGGAGATGGGATTCAGGACCAGCAGCTGTGATGAGAGCCTCTTTCTCAAGGGCGAGGGGGAGAAGCTGGTGCTGTTTCTGGTCTATGTGGACGACATTCTTCTCTTCAGCAGCAGCATGAAGGAGATCCAGAAAGTGCAGCAGCAACTGATGGAGAACTTCAAGTGCAAGAACCTTGGGGAGGTAAAGTACTACCTCGGGATGCACGTGGAGAGGGATCCAGATCACAGGTGGTTGAAGCTGCACCAGGAGAAGTTCATCAAGGAGCTGGGGGAGAAGTATGGGATTGAGAATGAGCGCAAGGTTGCAACTCCCCTGCCAGCAGAATTCAAGCTTGTGAAGGCTGCAGAGGATGAAGGGGTTGAAGCTGAAGAGCAGCAGCAATTTCAGTCCTTGGTGGGCAGCCTCTTGTACGCAGCAGTTCACACGAGGCCCGACATCTCTTTCTCGGTTGGGCAGCTGGCTAGGGTGGTGCAGAATCCATCAGAGGAGCAGGTGGATGCAGCTGAGCGTGTGGTGAAGTACCTGAACTCTCACCCAAGCATTGGAGTTCAATACTCCGCATCTGCACAGGTGAAGCAGAAAGGGGTGGAGGTGCTGAAAGAGAAGGGGGAGAGGCTTGGAGAAGGCAAGCTATTTCTCACTTGCTTTACCGATGCTACATGGGCTTCTGAGAAGGAGGATTCCTCATCTGTGGGAGGATACATCTGCGTAGCGGGGAGGACCTGTTAGTTGGAGGTCCAAGAAGCAGACGGAGACGGCACTCTCTTCCGTAGAATCAGAGTACATGGCGATGTTCCATGGGGTGAAGGAGGTGATTTGGCTGAGGAGGCTGTTAGAGGAGATTGGCCAGAAGCAGAAGGTTGCTACGCCGCTGTTTTGTGATAGCAAGGGGGCTCTTGGGATGGCCAGAAACGCTGTGCTTCATGGGCTGAACAAGCACATGCGTATCAAGTGGCACTGGCTGCGTAAGGAGGTGAAGAGGGGGACGGTGAATCCAATCTACATCAAGACTCACCAGCAGCCAGCAGACTTTCTCACCAAGAGGCTTGCGGATGAGCCTCATTGGCGTTGTGTGCGCATGAGTGGAATGAGCATGAACTAGCATGGAATGATGGGGATGCAGCCGGCAGGCTGAGGGGGAGTGTGTTGGGTGCAAATTTACATTGCACGACATCCTGCCGTCTGTTTGTACGAGTATGCGTGTGCGAATGCATTTGGGTGTGAATGGAATGTTCGTGTGTTTGTTTGCTTTCGCAATTTTCTCTTGATGCATTTGCAGGTACTCGCGCAATGTGCGCTTCGGCACAACATTGTACGCGCTATGAACAGTGCAAGCAGAAAGAACGAGCTCGCAAAGGAACCCAAGATGGAAGCTTTGCAGTTCGGTTGAGTTGATTGCGCAGATTCAGTTCTATCCAACTCGAAATTGTACTGTTTTGTTTGGTTAACTATAGTGTAGCAGGGAAGGCACTATAGGGGTACAATTTAGGTGAAGGTTGGATGTTGTTTGTCTGTATCTGCATGCTACAAGGCCAGGGGAAACCAGCGGAACCAGCATTTGGCTGGTTAGGCAAAGACAAAACAGGTTCTGTTTTTAGAACCTGAACCTGGTTGTTGTTTTCCCAGGTTGGAAAAACAGAACCAGAGGTTGTTTACCAACCTACCACCTGCTATTTTGTCCAGCCAGGTTGGTTCTGTTGCTTGGAATTATTTGGGATCATCCCTGGTTGTTCCCAGGTTGATTCCCAAGGTCCTTGCTAGCTAGAACTATTTAATCCTTCTCTGTTTGTACCTGAATATAGTTAAATTGATTCAAGCGAATTCCTTCCTCGTTGGAATTCGTCTCTGCGCTATTCGACGGCAGAATGCTACCCGAGTCAACGCTAGTATGCTAGCACTCCAACGCTAGGCAAACGCTGTCCGAGCCATAACTTAGTAATGGCAGAACTTTTCGCGAGGCAACTTGGCTCATTTAAAAGCTCTTGGAGCGAGCTTCGATATAGCGAATTCTCAGCTTAATCCGATCGACGGTCTGCACGGCACGCTGCGCGACGTTCAAGGTACTCTTGCTGTTTTGACTAAGTCCTTCTTGATCCCTCTCTCTACAAACTCGGACCCGAGGATAGGGGCTGGTCTTGTACCAGGCACCCAGGGACCCTTGGAGGTGACCCCGAGGAGAGGTTTTAAGTTTGATTAAGTCCTAATAGCTTGAGTTTATTAGGCCCTTACACCAACAGGTCGTACGCCACGCCACCCCACGACCACGGGGACCCCACCACCCACCATGAGGGTAGGCCACTGGGCCTGCTGATGGTATGGCCGAGAGGAGTTGCGCCGGCGCCGCGACGACCCGCGCTCCTGGTGGAGAGCGGGAGAATGAGGACGAGACAGGCAGCGATCCGGAGACGGGGGGGCGCGACGGCTGGCCTGCCGGTGCAACCGATAAAGCTTCAGGCGCGGAGTGACCTAACGCTGAGGGCGCGGCCAACGGGGCTGGGCCGCCATTGGTGGCGGACGCCGCCTGCGGTGACAAGGCAGAGGCCGGAGCAGGCGCGTCGTGGACAGCAGCAGGCGGTGCAACTGACGCACCAGGGGCAGGAACGGGTGAGGCAGCAGCAACCCCAGCGAGGTCAGACGCTGGCGAATCATCGAGAGGGGCCGGGGGAGCCAAGGGAACAGGAGCAGCGGTCGGAGCAGACTGAGCAGGGACCTGGGCTAAACGGGCCAGACTCCCCCGCGGCGGACGCATCGGAACCTATATCTGCGTGTCAATCCAGATGCCATCCATTCCCTTGAGGTTTGAATGACATCGCTGGGGCAATTTTTGCGATGCCTGGGATTGGCGTCTTGCAATACACACTTACAGTGTGTCACCTGCTGCTTGAATTCGTCATCCCACGCGGCATCATTCTCAACTCCTGGATTTTCCTCCACAATCGAACTCGCCATTTCCCAAAGCGCGCAAAAACTGTACACATCCAATTGCGGAAAATTGTTCGGTACTTTTTCTTCTCTTTCGGGTTGATGCAAAATATTTGTGAATCAATCGAAGTGTGACTGCTCGCCATAGAGTGACTCAACAATCTTTGCGGGTGAGGCTGAACTACAATAACTCAGTGGTTATCGAATGATATTGTTACAGTATGCTTTTATTTTGTTACATTGAAAACCGTGATTGGCTAAAATTTTGATATATACACTGCAATTGAACGTGCTATAATTTTGTTGCCCTATTAAAACATGTTATTTATAGGATGGTGTCGATTTGATTTCTGCATGCCCGAAATATAGCATTGAAAAAACTGTATAACCTAGGGGATACACCGCATACATGACAAATTAAAAAATAGTGACGTTCAACCATACAGGGTTAAATAGATTACATAACTTAGCAGTAATAAAACGACCAAGCATAAATCATGCATTTTGGAAAACCAGCACTCGGTACGTGCACATCCTGCACAGGATATGAAGCGTACATAAATACACAACCTGCAAAAGAATGTACAATAAGAAAAAAGACGACCACCACAGTAGGAGCTACTAACAATGAACTAAGCTTAGCGTCGATACAAAGCATCTGGGTCAGAGTCGGACACTACGTTGTGAGTAGCAACCACAAAAAAGCGGCAAACACCAGTGTTGCAGAAACGTTCATATTGACACAACCTGCAAAAGAACACACGATTAGCGAATCTCAGGCAAACCTCGGGATGAGACGCCAATAAGATACAGACATCAAGTCAAGAGAAGAGACATTGCGTGACAATTAAGTAAATATTACAGTCCTGCCAAGGCTTACCTACTAATGAAGCCTTCTTAAATACGGATGATTCCCTGCAACGAAGGTATAGCGAGTACATTAGAGTGAGACGAAAAAAAAGGGTCGATGGTGTATGCAGAAGGTGAGCGCAAATAAAGTGATGCACTATGGCTGCTGCTGCGACTGGCGCTGACGCTAGCCCTGGCACTAACAACAGAAACGAAGAGATCGCAAATGAAGAAATAAGCTGCTATCGTAAGGGAAAGCTGAAGTTCTCAGTCAGGGAGAGAGAAACTGGATGGTTGTGTTCCAGCGAGGCGGTGAGCAGAGCACTTCCCTGCTGGAGCACCAGCGAAGCACCAACTTGTGAAGATTATGATTCATGAAGCAGCGAAGCACCAACCAGAGCACTTCACCTTGCAACGCGGCTACGATTCTGATTCGTCGCCTCGATGGCTCACCCCCGCCACCTCTCATATCGCTAAAGAAGGATGTGCATTAGCTACGGTGTCAATAGCGTGAGCACGGATTGGCTGCAAATATATTTGCCAGGACAGCTGCCAAGTGTAACCCTAAAAAACTACAGTCGCCAAAGGGGATCGCGTAGAGATGTGGCCAGTAACAAGTAGAACAGTCATCATGTACAACTTTATGTGCTTACATACACATTACATTTCAGAAAATGTCTCACACAAAAGCCATATTAGAAGCCACAGAATGGGTAAGTGTTGGGAATTTCAAAAAAAAAAAAATGCTTAGGGTAAAATTAGGCATCCTTACTTTACTACAACCGAAAGAATTGCAAAAACACATTTAAGAGTGGTTTGTCGCTTCAAATGCCCGCCTATTTCAATACATTTTAAGGCTGAGAACCACTTGGTTTGTAGTCTAAATCATAAGTTTGATGGCTCTATTTTCTCCCCTATACCTCCTCTACTGTTCTGGAATGAAATTTGTTTTTGGGTGGAATTCACCAAAACCAAGATGCAACCTACACCAACGAAGCTCCGAGCACCTGACAACTCATTCTCTGGCTATCAAGGACATGTGCTAATTTCAAGCATGTCTTTTTGTAATTAGAAGTATGTGCTGTGTATATGACCTACTATGGTGGCAGCCTTCTATGGTATCCTGTGATATTTCGAAGACATTGCCAGGTTTTGCCCCGATGCGCCCCAACCTATGCACAAACAAGCGTCACGAGCTGGGTAGTTGTGCGAATGAGGTCAAACCAGTTCATATGGCAAGAAAATAGGGGGTTAAATGCCTGTATCTGTGAAGAAATGGTGCTAATAAAAACAACCAAACGATGAAACGGTGACATGTTGCGTACTGGCCTATCCTTGATCAGATTCAGCCCATCAAACGCACAAACAAGTGTCACGTGCTGCGTATTTGTGCAAATGAGCTCAAACCAGTTCCCATGGCTAGGAAAATGGATAACCTAGGGAACTGTGTAAAGAAATAGGGTTAAAAAAACCTCTACTAACGGTGACATGTTGCACACTGGCCTATCCTTGCATAGATTCATGCCATCAAACGCACAAACAAGCGTCACGTGCTGCGTAGTTGTGCGAATGAGCTCAAACCAGTTCATATGGCTAGTGAAACGGATAAACTAGGGAACTGTGTGAAAAAACAGGGCTAAAAAAAACATATAGACGATTAAACGGTGACAAATTGCACACTGGCCTATCCTTGCACCGATTCATGCCATCAAACGCACAAACAAGCGTCACGTGCTGCGTAGTTGTGCGAATGAGCTCAAACCAGTTCCTATGGCTAGAGAAATGGATAACTGGGGAACTGTGTGAACAAATAGGGCTAAAAAAATATAGACGATTAAATGGTGACATGTTGCGCACTGGCCTATCCTTGCACCAATTCATGCTATCAAACGCACAAACAAGCGTCACGTGCTGCGTAGTTGTGCGAATGAGCTCAAACCAGTTCCTATGGCTAGGAA